AAACTTTGTTTTGTTTGAAAAATCAAATATATGCGATTGTAGATCCGAAACGTTTTATTATTAAAAAAGTTTTATTTTCAATGTCTCTTTTGTAGCTGTATAATAATTACTTACCAAATGAGATATGAATAAATGCATTCTGCCGGTTAATGAAAGTGGGTTACACTTATTATTTTCATATTACTCACAATTCTTATAATACATAAATTATCTTCGGAACAATATTCATTCACTCATAAAGTCGAGGTGATTGCGATAAAATACTTTTTGTGATATTGACTTCACAGGTTTCACTGGAATTATAATTTTTTTTTCCGTACCTGAAACAGCGATATTTGTAATCCACCCGGTTTTAGACCTGACCTTTAGATGTTTATTATTCGTACACATGGCGACTTTGATTGGAATTTGACGCAATTTTGTAGCTAAAAATTGTGTTGTTATGTTCTCAAATTATGTATTAAAGTTTTACGAACAACATACAAAAATAGGTTTTTGATTATATGTGTATGGAGTAACTATTTCCACTAATTGGGTAACAACTATTAGCAATGTCTCGATACCTCCAATGAACACTACGCCAATTACATGTTTGGTAATTTCCTGTTTTGAATGTAAACAGTTTTCAAAAAAGAAATTTTGTGAAGAAAAAAGAAACAAAAAATACAAAAAAGAAAATGACCAAAAATTAAATAGACGTAGTGTTCATTGGAGTTATTGGTTTGAGTTGCTACCCGAAATTTAAGTATATTTGCCGTTGTTATTTTTTCAACAAAGGATTTGAGAACACACACACACACACACACACACACACACACATTTACATAAGCGTAATTACAGTTTCACGTAACTCATTCTGTTAAACTAAAAATTAACATAGCGGTAACGATTGGAATTAGTCATACCAACCGTGCGAAACATGGTTGGCACGTCAAAGTAGTCCTGGGGCGAGTCGATGGCTATAGCGAAAGGTGCTGCGCATATGTTCCTGAGCACCCTTAAAGCAGCCAACGACATGGTAGCGGCAGCTGTAGTTGACAGAAGCGTCTTGGCACTGTCCCCCGTACATTCATTCAACAGGTTCCACAACCCACGCCATGCACCGACGCAAGCGACACCCGCCACCTCTGTATAAACCCTAGATAACACATAGTAAGTCAGCCTCCCTCTATCTGGCCTCAGATATTTACTGAACTGAGATTGGAACACGCAAAATGAAAGTCCACAGCACAATCCAAAAGCGGCACACACTCCCGCACTAGCTACAGGGTTGTGTGTTAACACGTATAAGTCCATGAGGGTCCATGTTGATTTCCAGTAGGTAACCACTGAAGGCGCAACTACAATGCTGGCGAAAAGTACGTCCGCGATCCCGAGGAACGCGGAATAAGCGCGCGAGCCGCTCGCGAGCGTGTCGGCGAGCCCGGCTGTGCTTCCACGCATGTCTGGTGCAGGAGTGCGGAGGGCTGCCGATGGCCGGCCAGGAGATTACGCCTGTAATTGCATTATCACTGCGTCCCGCGCCGTGACGTACTTACTCTCCTTGTTTGCCCACCGGCCACTGCGTATGATTTTATGACTGGGAATGTGAGATAACTATTTCTAATACTTGTTTGACACGCATTTATAGCTAATAGAATTCTGCGTGATTGTTACATTCTCAATAGTTATGCAAAGTAGTTATGCAAAGTTATTTTTTACAAAGGATGATCTATCATCAATTTCTATTTCGAAGATTGGATTAACTTTCTGGATTAAATTTTGTGGAGGGTTTCTCTTTTACAAAATACCTGATTGATTCGAGCTAGCGTCCATCGATTACCAACGGCTATATTCATATACCCATTAGGATTAGAGTGACCCTCACGCTAATCGACGTAATGCTCAGCAAATCGGGACTAGACAGGGAACGTCAAGTATCTACTTCCTAACAGACCGCTTCGACGCAGAAGTGGATAATATCATTAAGACCTTGATTCTATACACTTAAATTATTAGAATGTCTTTGAAATTAATGCACTGAATTGGAGTTTTATTTCTGGAACTTGCTTTACTTGACAACCCTATGATTTTATACATAACACCTCTATCTACAGGAAAGATGCAGAACGTTAATCTTACTCCACTTCACTTATTATCTTTAATTTATTTTCTGTCCACCTATTTTTCTATTATAGTCTGCACAAACTCAGTATTGTTTTAAGATCTAACATAAATAATAATATTAACAATAATTTATTTATTTAGTACAAAATATAGTACATATTAAAATATATTTACAACATGTTTGCAAGAGACTGTTTAGGGCTGGGCAGTATTGAATTACTTGTAATGAAATGTGTTTTGTATTTATATTTCAATTACTATCTAATAATGTATAATGTAATTGGTATTTGAAATATCTGACAGTACTTAATGTATTTCATATGGCAGGTATTTAAATGATCATTTTAAATTTGCAAAGACAGCAAGCAAATAATCTAAACGGTCAGCATTTTTAAAAATTGATCCTTTTTCTCTGAGACAACAAACAAAACCAATTAAATCAATCGATATTTTCAACTGTTCTGAGGTACGCAAAAAAAGTTTGAATTCTAATATAAACTTTGATAGGTTTATGTTGGGCCTCAAAACTAACAAAAATTAACACTAAAAATAAAATTTGATACTTGCTTTTAAAACTAAGTAAATGTGGATTATATTTGTATACTAATATTATATTAATTATAATATAATTTGACCTGATAACATGTTCGGAAACGCTAGGAAATTGGCTTCTGGCACTCGCCGGCCGCAAAAAAACCGCGGCACGCTCACTCGCTTGGCTCGTGCTGCTTTTTCCTATACTAACCTAACCTAACCTACTGAATGCAGAACCAAGAATTATTCGAAGATCAAAAAAATAATGTCATCAATCGATAAAAGAATAGACCAATATTAAAAAAACAGGATCAAATATTAATTTTGGACACCAAATATTAAATTATGTTTAAACACAATGGTAGTGTTACCTAGAATGTAGTTCATTACAATTTTTCTTTCGATCAACTAATATAGACGGAAAAATTTACAATAGATCAATTGTATATTTGAGGATCAAATAATACTATCCCATTTCATATTTGATGCTTGAAATAGTTTCGTGGTGTCCGGTGAGAGGTAACGATTTCAATTTGTTTTTCTTTTTAATATTTTTTTTATGATATCAAGGGACGGGACGAACAAGTCGTATGCCTGGTAGTAAGCGACATGCCTATTCATTTACAGCAAAGATCTGGACGACATTGCCACTGCGCCCGTCACCCCGAGATGTAAGTTGACAAGTCTCATATTCTTGTAATTTCACCAGCAGCGTTACGTTGGTTTCACAGTTTCACATTACGTGGGGCTTGGCAACTTATGTCTCAGGGTCACGCGTAGTGGCAGTGCCCCTCAGATCTTTGCGGTTTATAGTTCTGAATGGTACTGCGACACTGAATCACTGAATAGGCGTGTCGCTTATGACGCACGGCACTTGGTATCAGAAAAAAATACATTTTAAATTTCGTGCACGTTTTTCTTTAACATGAGGTTAAAGAAAATTTTTCATCATTGACTTAGAAAATATTCAGAGAGGTGCAAGTTATTATCCGTCTATCTTTTTCTATAAAACTGGATCCCGAAATGTCAATCATATTACCTGATTAGTTTTGTGTTGGTATAGGATATAATTGTTACTTATTTATTTATTTAATACGTCACATTAACTGCTATGCCACAAAAATTTTATAAAATTAAACCTAAGTTAAACTAATCTAAGGGCCAAACTACTAACAGAAACATTATAAAGTTACTAATAATAGTCATAGGCACGGATTGCCTGAGAATGCTGGTTCGAATGCAACTAGATCGAATGAATTTTTCTTACCGTTTCGATCTTTGTTATAATAATTATAACGAACTAGTAGAGTGGATAATTTTACAAAAAATAATTGACTAACATGGCAGTAAAACATCATAATATACAACAAACTTTAAAATAACAACATTATAAATGTGTAATTTGTTTTCCAATTAATTAGTGCAACTCATTAAAATTGAAACAATCTAGATCGAAAAAATTGATAAAGTAAGTAGAACACGTTGACTATATTATAATATGATAGATAGCGAATAATATACTTCTGAAAGGGCTTATTCCCAGATGTCACCATTGGCTTTGTTACCAGTGATGATGTGACTATTTCTGTGATTTTTAATTATTATATTATATTATATTTTATTAGCCATTTGTCGCCAGAGGGAACAAAGCCAGTGATGACAATTGAGAATAAGCCATCACAAACAATCTTAGAAAATAATACACATAAGTTCATCTTACAAGGTGCCACACTACAGGTGTATACAGCACTAAAAATTTTGAGTTAAAAAAACATAATTAAAAATGTAAACTTATAACAATAATTAATTATAAGGGATGTAAAGATCAAAACAATTGCTTGCACATGCGAATGAACTGCTTAGTATTTTTTTCGTATTCTAGAAATCTACTCAATGCTCAAGTCAGGATTGCACTGGAAACACAAGCACTGGAAATACGACCCTAATGGCAGGGATTTGAATATGATTTCGAGTGCTTTAAACCATACTCAAATCCTGACTTGAGCATTGAATAGAGTTCTAGAATACGGCCCTACGTCTCTGGTCACGGTCAAGTCATGAAACAAATGTTTTTGCAATGGGGAACCTGCGCTCCCTGTGAGGAATGTTTACATTGATGAGGGCCAGTGCCTCTGACCACGTTATACCGCCATGCACCATCTTGTGCAAAATTCCAGTAAATAAGTTTCAGCAGTACACTGTGTCGAAAGCGATAAGTTGACTATGGTATAGTGTTAAGAGTTAATCTCTTACGACTTTGACTTTACGGGGACTGCAAAAACCATACATCAATGGACTATATTAGCAACAAGTGATGAGTATGGTAGGAAGAAAGATAGTATACACATAAACATACTTACATTTAAAGACTTCTTAAAACGCGTAGTGAAAAGGTAAGTTGCCTCTTTGCCGTCTGTGACTATGAAGTACGGCGAAGCGAGGAGGTTTCTGGCAGACCTCAAACAGACTAGGAGTATGTAAAATGCGATCGTCATCGCTAAGTACAACGCTGGCCTGAAAGAATTGATCATGACTGTTTAAATACCACACGATTTGCCACCATTTTTAAATGTTAAAAATAAAATTTTAAAAGATATTAATTAATTTATACATTGCAAAGCTCCTTGTGCTTGGTAACGATATTGAGTCGTTTGTTAGTAAGCCGACCTCAAAAGTACGTGGAATTACATCTATTTGCCAAGTTTTATTGAAATCGTTTACCGGAAAGTGCGCAAACCCGGATTCATCCCCTAGTTTGCCACTATATGGAACTTGGCACAGGAGATAATACAAATCGGTTCTCACTACTCAAAGTATATTGAGAGAAAAAAACGCCTTGAATTGGAGAATAGCAAAATCAACCATTTAAATTATTGCTCCTTATAAAAAAATTCAGGCACTATTTATAAAAATGAATCTAGAAGAATCTTAGAGGTGGATGATTTTCTTCAAAATTAAATGGGACCACTATGGAGGTACCCTCTTTCCAACAATAAAAGAGTCATCAAAATCGGTTCACAAATACCGGAGTTGTCGCGAAACATACATACAAAAAAAAATCGAATTGAGAACCTCCTCCTTTTTTAGAAGACGGTTAATAACGTGACTAAAATTTATTTTAACTTCATTGCTTTTTAAATGCATTGCTTTTTTTCTTAATTGGCTGTTTTAAATTTCTATTTAAGTGTTTATGTATTTCTGTAAAAGATCATCTATGGCTTTGATAACTCATTTATATTTCTATTGATGTTATAGAGACACCTAAAAAGAGATATATTAAGACTAAGGTTGTATGCCGTAAATGCACCTGTACTGGACCCATGCCTGCAAGCCTCAAAGAACCATTGGTAGCAAGACAGCATTCCAGGATAATGAGTGGGTCCCTTAAAGGGGGCATCATTATCCTGCATTACAGTCTGCCTAGCCGTCCGCCGCGTAATGCGGGATTATGAATGTAGTCGTAACGTGCAAGCCATCCTGCAATCCTGCAATGCGTCCTGCGAGACTCCATACGTGAGCCATATGCATGAGAATAAAATAAATAAGACCTTTATTAATAATACGTGTTTGGAAAAAAAAATAGACAAACCTTGAAGAATATTTTTATAGCATTTTCCATTGACTTACAATTATATTTTCTAAGGTCTTAAGAATTATCATCCCTTTGTTTCCTAAATCTCATAATCCATTGACTTTACGATTACTTAATCGTAAAATTTTATCAAAAACATGAAGCGGCCTTACCACGAAACTAAATGCATTATACAAAAGTATCACTCGTTCGATATTCATTGCCTACTAAAGAAGTATCACAAGAGAAACACAGCGCCAAGTGAAAGCCACAATGTATTATGAATCACGCGGCATACACTCGTTTGCATATTTGTTTTCTCGAAATTCATTGAAAATAAAAATAGTTTATTTTAAAATAAATTATGCATATTCTGATTACAAAATTACGCTATGGAAGCAAACGTCCCAGTTTATGTACTTTCTCACAGCTGTGGCGTCTTTGCAGTTTCTAATGGCGCAATTAGGTATTTTTCGCGTTTTCAACTAATCTTTAAGTACAATACGACCGGGCGCGTAGTGCGTAGCAGCGCTACTAAGCATTTATAGCTTTCACTGGGCACGCGAAGTAGATACATTGGCAGCGTCTATTTAGACAGGTATATGTATATGGTCATGTACTAAAACCTGAAACTTAAATATCGTTTCTAACCTGTGAGGATGAGCAGCATTTGGCGCGACAGCAGCCACAGTGTCATTGAAGAGTCCAAATCCACCGTACCAGTGCAAGATATTGGCTAAAGCGAATATGTAAGTGTAAATCCGGGACATGAATCGCTCGAAAATCCATCGTCCTGCGCCGCCGGATAATTTGCTCCATGCCCCTTTAGATCGAGCTAGGAGATGGGATCTGTAAGTCACGGAAGATTCAGTCAGATTGACGAGTTTCTTATCTATTTATCTTCTATAATGTCATTTACAGTGATATCTGCTAGTTTGTGCCATTTAGCAAGCAATACACGTTCACACATTGTAGTAAATAGGTCAAATTAACGCTTTTTAAATAATATTGTCAAACCTTCTTCACGTACAGCCTTTGGGTGAACTATAATAGTAAGGGGACCCTAAACACTTCGTGGGTTCAGTATAATAATTATAATATAATATATATATATATATATAATAAAATAATTAAAATAATAATTCGTTTAGGATGCTGATGGGACTACCGTGGTATTGTTTACACCAGGAATGTTAATGTGTGCGCACAGTGATGCGCACTGATAGCTTTCATGTCGTTGTTAGACAAAGGGTCTCCCTGTAGCGATGTGTACGCGGGGGCTAACAGCATCCTGGTCATTGTAGGAAATAGTTTGAACTGTCCCATTCAAACCCACTGGACGAACTTACATGTAAGTTAGGTACATTATTACTTAATTGAGTCTAGTTTTAGTCATTTTTATTTTATTTGTCTTTATAAATTTAATTTAATTTGTATATAATTTAATTCATTTTATTTGAATTTATTTAATTGTTTATGTCAGTTATTTGTGAATGTAATGTATGTATGTGTGCGCTTATTAATTTTATAATTTTGTATATGGATGTAATATACCGAAATAAATTATTTGAATGAATGAATGAATAGCTATCTCTTGACTCGATTTTCATCCCGAAATCAATATTCGTGTAAAAAAAGTAATATAATAAAAGCCCATGACATAACTTTAAAAAATGTCAAATTGAAGTATGTAATAGCTCTGTTATTTATTGTTAATATTGTTGTTACAATGTTATATGTTGTATCACATTTTTGTAATAATAATTTATCAGATTAATTATCATTTTAATGATATACATGTTTCATGAATATAAACAATATTAATTACGTTACAATAATATACCAATTCACATTAAAATTTAAAACATAGTGCATAATTCTAGTACAGCTTCTTGTACTTCATACTTTTAAAAATATAGGATGTATCAATTTTCATTTAACATTCACAAAAATACGATCTTTCAATGATCGTATTATAAAAAGGGAAATTTCAACTAGTCGCAGTTTCTTACACCATTCTTGCATAGGTGCTAACTAATTACGTCATAATGAAGATGATATTTAGATTTTTTCTTCCAATATACTTTGAAATGATCCTTACATGAAACAAAGTCGATCCGCACTAAAAAATAATCAATTTTATTCATTTTTATGGTCAACTCAAATTTGACCAAAAAATTCACTGTGCCAAAATTGTCTTCATCATTGTCTTCACAAAAAAAAACTTAATGGTTACTAAGACAGTTTCTCTGTATCTCATATGGTTTCGGATTTCCCTATACTGTCCCAGTTAAAAAAAACATTGTATAGTCCTCCGAGGTTGTTAGTATATTACAAATAACCCTATTAGAA